AGTTGTTATAATACCAAAATGTATAAAACACTTACTTATATTAATTGTATTGAAGATGAATTTTGTTTTAAAAACCTTTCACAAAATACTTTTGTATGACACCTCGTCAGTTCTCTCTGTATCAAAATAATAAATTGACAAACTGATTGTATTTATTTAATTGACATCTGTTTTTAAGAAAAATTTCCTACACCCATAAAAAATAACTAACAAAGCTAAAAATTGAAAAATAAAGATATATAACACTTCTATAGAGAAATAAAAGAATCACTTCAATTTCTGATATATCAAAGAGAATTTAAAAAAAAAATTTTATGAACAAAATTCTCTTGACTTCAGTTCCAACTGCAAAGTTTAGTTTTCTAATATCAAAATATTTAGATATAAATTTTTAAGCCAACTAATATTTATTCTGTTGACTTCTTAATTTGCTTTAAATAAAATTGTCACAAAATTATTGTATAAATAAATAAATTTTAATTTAATAATTTGCACTTTTATTTAACGTCAACATTATTATTTATTTAATTTGTTAGCACATTGAACTCTAAACGAAAAATGTATCTTTCATATATGGTTTGTTAGTATAACGTGTTAATAATACATTGAATATCAATGATTTGGATAATTTTAAATCAATGAATTGAAACAGTATTTAATTTGATTTTAATATTTTGAAAATAGTGTAAAAAAACACTTAAGAACAGTTCTCTATGATATTTTGACACATATCTAAATACCACATATCTGTTCATCACATTCTTTTTAATAGCAATTACTGCTAATACAATCATCTTTTAAAAAAAAAACTTTATTAGAAAAAAAATTTTTTTTTGTTGTTTTTTTTTTTTTGTATATCATTTTTCTTTAGATGTGAAACATTACTATTATTTCATTTACTTATCATTATTTTGTCATTGTCTCTGCCTTTATTGTCAACAAGGAACCAACCAACCAACCACCAGGCCTCTTGGTGGGAATCGAACCCACACCCCAATGTATCATAGCTCTACAACCTCTGCATTATGCTACGGGGTGACAGCTGTTGAGCATTTCATTCTCTTACTTCAGTTACTAGTCATTTTAACAAAAATGCTACTATGGAGCATTTTTAATACATAACATTATATACAAGTATTTTGTTATGCGTAAATTATAATTATTATTATAAATATAATTATTAAAATATATTTTGTTGTCAAGTTTTTAAAATTGATAATGTTATTGCTGAACTGGGTAAATATATAAATCCAATGAAAGGCACTAATAATATATTAGTGCGTCTTTCTTAGAGAAAATATTTTTATCTTCAGGCGATAAATTTAATTTATACGTAGTGCTATAGCTTTTTCTGTGTCAGTTCCTTAACATAATAAAACTATTATCCCTTCAATATTATTATTTTTTAAATATCTACAGAAAAACTGGTTGAATAGTCGGTCTACAACGTTGTTTTTCCTTTAAAAATTAAAATTAACACCTGTTTACTTTCAAGTATTTAGTCAGTCAAAACTAACTGCAAAGTAATTAGTTTACTCAAGTTCAATATGTTTATCTCTTTTTTTTCTATTTTGCATTTCAGTTTTTTTCTCACTATTTGAGTAAACCGAAACAAGCAGTCTGTTTTAATATGTCTCTCTCGCTCAAACACTCACTATTAGCCAGAAACTTTCATTGTAAACCAAAGACTACCACCTTATAACACAGACTATCACCATTAACCACAGGCCTTTTACTATTAACCATAGAGTAAGAGTAAAAGAAATTGACATAAATTTGCACAATAACAGAGCAATTGGGCTCAAGTTATATATCTCATGCCAATTGATTCTACTCTTCCAGAACATTCTAAAATTATCAAAAGGCAATTTAAGGTTATTAGAGGGGTTTCATTATATGTCATTATGGTCTGAAATATCACCTATATAAACTCCAACTCATTCGAAAAGCAGACTATGCAGCGATAATGAGAAAACAACTATGTATATTCTTTATCCAGGTTTAACAACGCACAGAAGAAAATTATTTCATATGGAATTTCTGTCACCAGAACAGATTGAGAACTCTTCTCCAGATTTAGTTCTGGACTTTGTATACAAAACTTTAAAGGGCTTTGTGTTATTAGAAGAGAATTTGGTAGAATAGGGCTCTTCTGGCTGCAGTACCGACTGTTAGGCGATTTCACGACAATACTTTTAGTTAATCAATTCCTTCTACTTACAATAGAAGAATTGCGTTTTCTTAATGGAACGCTATTCGTGCCCTATATTTTCGTGAATTCTAACTTGCAGATTATACCTCAAAGATAAGAAAATAACTATGC